TCCGGCGCGGGGGGGGGGGGGGGGGATCCCTGCAGGGAGCCGTGAGTGACAGTCACGGTTCTCTGCAGGGAGATGATGGAGAAGTGACCGAGCGCCGGTATGTGTTCACTCACTTCCCAATCTATAGAGCCGACGTGCGACAGTTTCATTGTCACAGGTCGGCTCAGATTATGAGGTGGAGTGAAAATCACTCGCCTCATAGTTCTCCTTTAACCCTTGCAGTGCGAGAGTTCTGCGGAGTTCTTCTTTAAAGTTTTCCTTTCCTGGCTGCAGTCTTGTTGTGGGGGTGCTGCCTGCCACGTATCCATGTGTGTAGGCACGTGACGGGTTCTCGGGATTCCCGCCGGTGGTCCAGCATTCCCTCTCACTCCCGCGTACACTATATATAGTTCTGTCTTCTCATACGTCTGCTGTATTTTTCTGCGTTCTGCTTTTATTTGTGAACGCTCGCCCCCATCACATGTGCTGCCCTGAGATGGCGTGGGCGGATCTGTCACGGCTAATAATACGCATGTTGTGCAATTGATGCTGTTTGATTGCAACATGCCCGACCACGAATCCACACACTTCCTGAGCTGCTTCTTTCCTCCTTCCTGCTACTGCTGCGGCGTCTGGAGCTGCGCAGGAACAAACTTCACTCCGGGATCATGGCCACCTTTGACCCTCGGCTCCCATTCCCCTGGCGCCACACCGACGCGTTGATTTACAAATAATGACGCTCTTTTTGATTCATGCTTTCATTTTATGTGACATCATCTGTTCAATAAAGTTTTCTGTACCTGGTGATGAGGACCGAGTCGGACGGCTCACGTCGGGCGGCTCACGTCGCGGGCGGCTCACGTCGCGGGCGGCGCACGTCGCAGAAGGCGCATGTCACATCCAACGCCTTCCTTAGGTGGAAATGGGAACTACAGTTGCCAAGATTCCGTGGCAATGCCCTGTCGTTAGGGGTGTCTGTGTGTTTTTCGATACTTTGCCATACGAAGGGGACCTGTGCTAAAGGAATACAAATAAAAAGGACATTCCGAGGCTGAATGGTGTGTGGACAACATATCTTCTAGGGGTGTCCATGTGGGCGCGGGGCTTAGGGCTGCCCGCCCCTTGGTTACTAGTTAATATTCACATAGCCAGTCACAATCAGTCAGTGGCTGGCT